TAGTCCTAACTCCTGGTGGATGTTTTCTTCTTGGATCTTCAATCTACGATCTATTTTTCTACTTTTCATCCTTTAAAATATAGGTTTGACTATGGGTGTGACAAGTCCCAGCTTAATGCAAACACAATGATATTTAATGCCACAAAATGGTAAGTTTTCTATAAATAATAGGCCAGAATGTATGGGAAGACTTCTTTTGTGCTGGAGTGCCCCTGATGTGAAGGTGAAGCAATACTTTGGTTTTTGGAGCGTTAATGAATGAGTAAAGTCTTTTCCCGTTGAGTAGATGTCAGCATTGTATTATTGTAAGTTCTTCTTTCAGTCCATCGTGTTTAACATTTGGTCAAGCTCTTATAAAAAAATGCATATGTTGTAAAATGAATATAACAAAAGATTTTATTCTTTTCAAAAACGCAATATTGAGCAATTTTTATGTTTTTATTCATCAATATTTTATCAACAGATCCCTGTTTTGAAAGAGTTTATAGTCTTAATCCTTTGTACCTCTGGCCTACTGCAACCCATGGGTCCAAGGTAAATTTCATGCACGTGTGCTCGTTCTTGTTGATATTTTCTATTATTCTGAGATTGTGTATTATTCAATTACTAATTATATGTCTTGAATATTGGCTTTAAGCATGACCACAGGTTTCAATATGGCTGAAGCTGTAGCTCAGGAGCCTCCTCGCACTCTGATTTCTCCTTAGGTAGGTTCAATTCTCCATTTCTTTGGGGATAACATAGAAAGTTTATTTGGGTAGTTAACTGCTGGAACTTAAGAGGTTTGAAGAACTTGAAAAAATCTAAATAATTGATTCCCGTGATGCTATCATTGCCAAAAGCATTGGTAAGCGAGCAACACTTCTTTATTTTATTGTTTTTGATATTTAGTTGCTTTATGCTCAATTCTTTATGATGTTTTCATAAATTTGCATTTTCCTTTAGTTGCCTTCTTTATGCTTAATCTTTCTTGGTTTGTGTGATTTTATTTTTTGAAATGGAAAGAGTTTTATATTTTCATTTCTNTTTTTTGAAATTGAAAGAGTTTTATATTTTCTTTTCTTCTATGCAAAGTGTCAGATCTTGTTATGGAATTACTTGTTGCGTTGATTTTTTTTATTAATTTTAAGCTGCATTAGCGTGTATATTGAGCTTCGTATCTTTCATTAAGTGTCGATTAGGCTAACTGGGATGTGAATCTTATATATTTCGTGTGATGTAGACTATAAAAGCTCCCAGGTTTACTACCCAAATGATGTAAAATATCTAGCCAATGCTTGAACTATGGCAGCTGAAAGGAAGATTGCCTATCATAGCATCAAGCGCCAAGAAAATTTTAATTATGCGAGGCACCCGATTTATTAGTGTATTTTTGTCCGGACTTCTTGTTAAAGATGGCCATTATGTTTAATATAATTTGGTTCTTCTTACTTTTGTACTTGTTAATAAGTAAAATACTCTCCTAACTCAAAATAAAAAACATATCAATGCATAGTTAATCCTATCTTCGTAGATATATATTCTGTCTAGATTTGATAACATAGAGGATATTTACCCCTTAGGCTGGTGGGTTTTTTCAAAATGCTTTAAGCAGCGATGAAGTTCATCAAATAGAATATGCATCAAATTAATGTAGTGAAGAATGATTGGAGAGACCACTACCATCAAAGCAGGTACAAGGTTTTGAATTTAATCTTTTGGTGAGCACGTATCTCCCGTCGTTTCAAATAACATTCCGCAAACTAATATTACCTCAAAAATAACACAGCCCGTGCATTGCACGGGCAATCGACTAGT